TCTAGGTTACAAGTGGCTACTAGATCACCTATCAAAAGAGGAACAGATCACGTCCCTATGACACCGGTTGCTATCAAGAATGCTATCACTAATTTGCAACAAAAATATATAAGGAAAATGTGAGTCACAAAGACTTCCTGAATGGATATGGGAAGGGGATAAGTCAAAGGATAAGAGTATTTTGTAAACATGCACTTGTAATCTTATGCCATTTTTAACCACTTAATCGTAGAGTTTTTGAAACATGGTATTTAAATGCACTTTAAATAGCATTTGCAAAGAAAACAAGTTTACATAACCTTTGGAAACCTTTTAACTTTGAAAAGTCTTCAAACAAGCCAATACAAAAATCTTATAGCTCATCTATTGATAAATTTAGGAAATCTATTGATATATTTGAAACAAAATGCTTTTTGTTGTATTTTGTTAGTTATCTATCGATAGATGTTCTACATGTATCGATAAATAGCCTCTAAAACTCTATTTTTTAGGCAAAATTCTACATTTTTGCCATTCTTTAAGTCCTCTTACCTTTTAAGACTATCTCTAAAGCTCAGCTTACTTCACCAAACACATTCTCAGGCCAATATAGAGTATAAATCATAAAAACTACTCAAATAAACTTAACATGCAACATTTCATAAATTCATGTTAATTTCAATCATTTAATAAACATTAGGATCATACATTGTGATGGTTTGACCCCCATCAACCTTGAGCTGGTAATGTACAATACCTATTGCACATTGGGCCAACAATGTACAATCCTTATTACACCTTCGACATTTATGATGCATCATAGGAGTGAAGTTGTCACTTGCATCTCGTGAAAGTGGAATCAATCACACTCATTGAATTCTCATACTTATAGCATTGGGTATGTGGAATGTTCTTTACATACATGCTTACTCATCTCATAAGGTATATAGAATTTATATCATATACACATCACATGGCATTCCTCATGCTTACTCTATTTTCTCATATGCTATGTAATACATACATTTTACACATAATCTCGTGGCTTTCATCATGCTTTCCTAATCATCTTATGTAGCATATGGAATACACATCATATACATAAACATAGCATCTTAAACGGAAATTCATCATGGAAGCCATTACACATTTCATGCCTCAACACAACTAGCATGCACATCATAGCATTCATGTAATAATCATAAATCAAATCTCATACCCACACTAGTTCGAAGACTGGAGTAATCGAGTGGACTTCAAACATGAAGGTGCTTGTCCCCTATTATTGAAAACTATTGCACAATAGGATATGTATATATATATGTAATAGATTGAAAACTATTTTCAAAATATTTTCACATCCATAAATACATTCTTATTTTCATAAATATTTAAGAGAAATCATGCTTATCAATAATCATCAAATCATGCTTTCGCTTTACATAACAAATAATTCAAAAGTGGTGTATTCATTCACCTCGATCAAAGACTCAATCACAACCTATCTTCAATGATTTCCTCAAAGTTTTCAATCGTTCTTATCTCACAATAATTATAGCAACTAATTTCTAGACTACCAACTATAGAATAATCATTCTAAGCACTTTTGAAAGTTACTTGCTCTCGACCAAGCCTATTTTCTCTCACTAAACCCATTCTAAAATAAGAATTTTTGCTCTCGATCAAGCTTTGATTACTTGAAAAATTACAAAGCCTTTAACTTTAATCCTTTAACAGAATTTTTGGAGCAAGAAACAAAATTTCCAAAATCAAAATGACAAGCTTTATGGATTTCAAAGCTTAAAAATGTCATTTTTATCATTAAATCTTAAAACCAACTTAGAATCATTAAAAGAAATGATTTTTGATCAAAAATGAGTTGAGAGGGTTTAAGAAAAGTTTACCTTGTAAAAATGTGGCTGAAGGTTGCTAACCCTCAAAAAATGTGCCATATTTATAGTTTTAGATGAGAAAATACCATTTTGCCCTTTTTATTTTTCTAGACATAGCATCATCTATCGATAGATCGGAGGCGTCTATCGATAAATGAACTCCAGAACTATTTTAGAAAGATCTCAAGTTACTATCTATCGATAGATGTCGCATAACTATCGATAGATGGACTCATCTATTGATAGATAGTGAACATGTATCGATAGATAGTAACTTGAGATCATTTCTGGGTTCAAACGAAGAACATCTATCGATAGATAAGCTCCTATAACTAAAGATCAAGTCAAAGCCTTGTCCAATTGGACTTCATTTCTAACCAAACTTTGTGTATTATTTTAAAATGTTAAAACATAAAATTTTCTAAGTACAAAACTAAATTTCAAATGTTCAAAACACAATTTAAATCATGTGATAGTTGTGTAACTAGTCCTTGGACTTGAGACACCAAGTCATCTTGAGTGGGGAATGACATTCTTTGATTTTATCCTTACAAGTCTGGAAGCAACTAGATGCATAAATAGGGTGTTTTTGAGTATGCCATGAAGCATGTGAAGGTAAATGAGTGATAAAGAGAGGATTCATTACCCCAAGTGATATGAGGGGATCTATCTCACTTGTTCTCAATTCTTAACTAACTTATATAAAGTCTTTGGCTAAAACATGATGCATATGAGAAAAGTTAATTTTCTAAATTTATAAAGTTAGTCATGAATTATAAGAACTAATATGAAATGTTATAAGTAGACACTGAGCCATGCTCTATTGTATATTCGGGATATTTGATGAAAGGACTAAGTTGCACTGAGAAGCTTATCACTGAAAGGTTTTGTCAAATTCTTTAATTGACTTTTTAACATTTGGGTTGTCATGATGTATTGCTAGATGCCATTCATGATCTATAAATATAAATCAATTATCAAATTGATATTTGATTTGGACTTATATTTATTGTCAACATGTTAAAAGCCTAATCGGTCATGCACATTAAGTGATATGATTGAAATTAAATAAAGATAATTAATTAAGTTGGGCTTAATTGGAATAAACCAAAATAAAGTAAAAAATTAATTAAGTTCACAAGGACTTAATTAAATTAAAATAAAACTATTATATCTAAGGTTACAACTTAGTTTGGCTATATAAATATGTTAACAAACTAAAAGTCTAAGCCTCCGACCACTTTCCACTTGTTTCATAAAATAAGAAAAAAAATAGTTTTCTTTGTTTGACAAAAATAAGATTCGATAAGAATTTTTAGTTTTTTTGTTTTAGAAACAAACTTGCTAGTACGAGTAAAATCTTACCTTTAAGAAAGGCTTATTCGTTTACTGTGTGGATTACTATTAGACGCTAAACACTTAGATGGCTGAAGATTTGACAAATCTTAAAGGTAAAGAATCAAAGATATTAATTTAATTGGCTCTTGATTACAATATCTAGAATAAGGTATGTAACTCTTAAACTTCTGAATGTTCATAGTTAATTAGAAAATTACATGAAAAATACAAAAATTGATCTTGTAAGATTTAATTATTTTTTTGATTAAATGTTAGTTTATAATTTCATTATATTATATTTTTAATTTATTAATTATTTTCATATTTGCGTATGAAGGTGAATCTCAACAGACCTGACACCCTTTTTGTACTTGATTAATGAAAAGTTGCTTAGAGATGTCGTTTAGTTCTTAGTATCAGCTGCTAGCTTAAACGCTAGCTCATTGTGTCGTTTTGATCCTTTACGTTTAAGCCGCTATGGCCGTATGATTGTTCGTTTCTTCTTTACAGCCGTTACTGGCACAGAATGCAATGCTGGATTATCGTGCTTCTGTTGCTCAACTTATTTCTCTGGATTATGTTTTCAAGGCCGATTCTTAAGCCTAAATTAGTTTTATTTTCCTTCTAGAAAAATATATATATATTGCAATGAAAATTGAATCTGTGCTTTTGCTTCCCAATTGGTTCTGTTGCAGTTTTTCTTTTCTATTTTCTTCTTTGAAATTGCTTGAGTTCATTTTCTCTGGAAATTCATTCAAATCGCAACGCACATACCATATTAAGACATGCAAAATTACACGTAATTGCATGACTGTTGAGCTTGCATTCTGGTTTGTTGTAAACCAGGCTGGTGGACTTGCACACACGCCATCAGTACAAGTACTGTAAGTATTACATTCAAGTATTAACGTCAACAAAGATGTCACTTTGGGCATTTGATGTGTCAAACAATACTAAGTTTGCTAAGCCAGTGAGGGGTTTAGTTGAAGCAAGGATGCTTCCAGATTTTTTGCAATCTGGTGGGTATCGCAAAGAGAATAAGCCAGTAGATCTAATTCATCTTGGTGGTGGGAAATTGTGCTTGCTTTGGCTAGATAACCTTCCTCTGGCATCAACGAATAAATGCATCCCCATTGCTCTCTATTTACTGTTTCTAGAGAAGATATCGATGGGATTGCCATCTTCCGTGCATGCGTGCAGGCTTCCTGAGATTGTTTTCTAAATTGTTCTGATGGAAAGAGTATAGAAAGTTGTGTCTTGGTATAACTACAAGTGACTAGGATCTTACCAGGATCCTTAATTTATTACTCTATCATTTCTATTTCCAGTTTTAAGTTGGGTTTGCTAATTAACGACTATTATTATGGTTATCTAGTTATTCCAACTTTCTGCGGATTAAGTTACAATGCCTGGATAAGCTCTTTTGTTTTATTTATTTACAATTTTACCTTTTCTAATTTGTGGTTAAGCTTAATTAGTCGATACCATCAAAACTCGGCATATAATTTTGATCTGAAACAAAGATGTCAGAAAGGTCAACATGTCCGAAAGATTTAGAAGCATTATATATGCCAAATTGGCCAACAACATAAATGATCACATTTAGACTTGAATTCTTCTTTTTTGAACTGCTTGAATGAACCCAGTATGCTATATATATATATATATATATATTCAGTATTACAATACTAATTCTTATTGTTTCCTTCTCATCAGAAATTAAATATAAGCATTCGTCACAAACAACAATTTCACTCAATACGGATGCTTAATTTACATTTTAGTTTAGATTCAAGAGACACAGAAAGCAAAGAGGGAGGTTCCATTAGTGAATCCTGGATTGAATAATCCGAAACTAACCTTGTATCCATGGCCTACGTAAATGCACCCATTACTAACTGAGATGCCACCATAAACAGTGGCACCTGTGTTATATGACCACAAGATTTTTCCAGTGTTAGCATTCATCGCATATATTGGTCCTTGTCCGTATGTCGAACCACCAAACAAGACCCCATTAGCCACAGTGACAGGGCCACTGGCAGTTCCATTACTGGGGTCGCCTGTTGACCAAAGGATTTGACCACTATTAGCATCCATGGCCACCCATCCACCGGCGATCGTGTTCTTTGTGGATGGCTTCAAAGTGAAATTCTTGCCATCAGAGTTAGCTATGTTGGTGTAGACCCTCGTTTCATCAGTGGCTGCCCCCCATGTTCCTCCTCCAGTGAGGCCACCAGGTCCAGCTTCCTACATGCCAAATTACCAATTGCATATTCAATCACTTTTTCACTGCCAAAATAGTTGAATAACTTAGAGAATACGTGGTTTTTCTATGCTCAAGATATCTTACAGTAGACCATAATATGTTCCCATGATCACGATCCAAAGCCCAAGCAAATCCACTCTTTTGGACAGCAGCAACAATGTCCCGCTTGGTTCCGTTGACATATATGCTTAGAATCATTGGTGCTTCACCAAAATCAGCATCAGGGTTCGGGCCAGGAGGACAATTATAGGTCGAAAGATTGTTACAGGCAAAAAACCAGATATCATAGCCCCCTAGCTGATGGTACCACTTGATCCTTCCAGTGTCCAGATCAAGGGCTAGGATTGAATCTGAGTGGTTATCAGGCTCAACACACTCGTCAGGATGAGCATGTACTTCTGTTTGATTGTTTTGTCTCTCTTGGCAATCCGTTATATTTTTAGGTGCTGAGTAGAGGTTCCCTGTGGCAATGTAGACAAGGTTCCTGCGGACGTCAATTGGAGGGCTGCTTCCCCAAATTGCTGCTCCAGCATATTCTCCGCGCTTGTCAAAATTGTCAGGCAACATGAATTTTTGCCACAATATTGTGCCAGTTCGGGCATCTAGTTTGACAAAGCTTCCACGGAAGATGCAGCATTGTTCAATGCTCAGCTCTTCCTCTTGTGAAGATGTGCCAACATAGAAATTGCTGAGATGAAGAATAAAATGAAAGCAACTAGTATACATATTAAATCATTAAAATAAAAGGTACTTCTAATAAATATTTTATCATTTTTCCGCCAAAGTAAATAAAATGGAAGGTGAGAATGCCCGGAATAAAGACTACGCATGTATCTAGAGTCAAAAGAAATGGTGACCAGTGCAACCAGCTCCTTAAAGACCATCACACCACAAATGCATTATGTCCACATTCAAGTATGTTATATTCATGTTACTTAATTATTGTGGTTATAGCCTTAAAATATTATGGGCCGGGCTACCCTTTAGCCAATTCGTTTTAGGTTGTGCGCTATAAGTTAGATCATATAATGAATCAATGATAGTGCAACATCATCTTCAATTTTCATCACTAAGGATTTGCAATATTGCTATATATAAATTAATGATTTTAGATATTTAAAATTAAGGAGAACGAACCTCTTCTTCTATCCTCTTATTTGGTTTGATAGATGAAGCAAAAGAGGGGAAAAAAAAAGAATGATGGTAGAGCAAATTTATTTTTAGTATTCAAATTATATCTATATGTACTCTGGTACTTCTCTTCTAATTAAATTGGGAATAAGTATGATAAGAAAGCTAGTCTTTTCTGCGTCCATGCTTAATGTTAATTTCTTCCCCTTCTATTTCTTTCCTACCAGAACTTTGTAATCTTATATTGACAGCCAAATTAAATAATATGCAGTTATTTTTGACTTTTCCAGCGTTATTAACATAATCAACCTGATATGCTGACCTTGCTGATTTCATTTGCATCTCTTCTCTTTATTATCGGTGCCTCGAAAGTCAGAGATGATACAATACATAATGCAGATGTTCGAGACCAGTTCAACAGTATCTTAAGGGACAAGTTAATTACCTACCAAGATTGAGTTGAATTTTTTTTAGTGCAGCACACACCAACATAAACTATTCTTTCAAGAAATCAGGCTATTGATTCCCTAGTTTAAATAATAGAATCAAACTACATAGTATACTTAAACTGATCTCTTGTTTCCATTTGAGTTGCCACAAAATTTGATGATTTCAGCTTCCTACACTTTTTCTTTTAAAATTGCAGAGGCATGGCATCTGATATATATATGTTCGGAGATGTAATGTTAGGTTGGTTCTGCCAGTTTACATTTTTATATCAAATGGTGGACTATGCTGATGATTAGTGCAATTGTTCGAGTGCCAATGATAATAGTTCGAGACCATTGTAGGGAACTTCCTTGCAATTTGAATGGAAAATGAAAATTGAAGTTAACATGACTGACCGCTTATAATAAGTTCCTGACATGGTGATAACACCGGCTGGGTTTTTATCAAGCTGAGTTGACCAGACAAGCTGCCCATTTGATCGTTTAACTGCAACAACATAAGCAGGTCCACTGACTCCAATGATCAGCAAATCATCTGCTATTGTTGGAGTTGTTCGGGACACTGTTACATTGACATTGAATATAACTCTAGTAGAATTAAGACCAGTCAACTGCTGCAAATTTTTCTTCCAAATAAGAGATCCATCCAATGCTTTGACAGCGTAAAGATATCCATCCCAGCTAGGGAAATAAACTGCTCCATCAGAAACTGATGGTGTTGCAGTAATATCTCTGCCTGCATTAAATTTCCAGTTCAATCTCAGCCTGGAAACTGTTTCAGGGCTTATCTTGGTTTCCTTGTTGGCGAATCGCCTGTTAAGTAGATTTCCACCATGGCTTAACCAGTCCTGCATGTCCTTACTATTACTTCCAGCATAAGCAAGCTTCTATAACCAAAAAATCATTGATCAAAGATTTTATTCTCCTTGACATATAAAAAAGATGTTTGTGTATATGTGCTTGTATCTGTGATACCCAAAGAGGTTTGAGACTTACAATTGAATCTGCAGACGCTTTAGAAACCAGTAGAGAAAAAAGGCACAGGGAGAGAACAAGCTCCATATTGAAGTTGAGTTTACGCTGTTTTATCCAAATCTTTGTACATGTTATTATTTATAGTACCATGTTATGGGACCAGATGGGCTGCATGGATTGATAACATGATATGTGCAAGATTTTATTTATTTATTTATTCATTTTTTTTCATATAGAAAGCGTGTAATTTGACTTTGTAAGGTTAAAAATTTAATATAAAATCCCAAATAGATAGAAAAAAATGAAGGGGACTTTGACTTTTTGATGAGTACAATTAGCATGTGCATGACCTTTTTTAGAGGTGACTTTATATTAACAGAGTCTAGTTATATCCGGCGATGACCTCTACTTGCATAATTTGCAAGGTTTACATAAAGGGGAAGACTCATTTCTTGTAAACTAAGAGAACCATTTCTTTTTCTTGAATATAAGATTCAGTTCATTCACAATAAAGAATACTTATTTAATTTCTTAGAAAATATGCATTTAAAGTTAAAGAATTTATAACCAATTAAGATTTGCTAATTAACAACTATGCAAACTTGGTAGCTAAAAACTTATCTGTAACGTGAACTATAGCTTTGGTAATTGAAATTTAATCATTAATTACATGTTTTAACTTTAAAGGCAACCCTCCCATAATTCCAATGTCTATAGATTTTGGATGATACCAGACTTCATTGTATAAGCCATGGTTTGAGTGATGTTGGACTCTACCAGAAGATTTAATCATAATGTGAAGTGTCTGATTTACGCATTTGTGTATTTGATTATAATTATATATAAAAATATTAATAAATAAACATCATTATTAAATGAAAAAAAAATATTTATTTGCAAAGTTTGAAAACTTAAGATGTTTAAAATAATGATCTAAAATAATTGTTTTTTATTCTTATCTTATCCACTACTATTTGTTTTTTCAAACTGAGGAATCGAATTACATCCGCTTGAGTTTGGCTCCACTTCATTGGAATTATAGAGAGGGTTTCCTTCAAGGTTTAAACTGGTATCAGAATCCTGGATAACTTAACATTTCTGAATTAATAATGTGGAAGATTTGTGCAACAAATAAATAGGGATAACCCCTGACCATCAATGGGGGCTAAAGTTGTATTTAAACATATTATTATCATTTGTTTACTTTCTAATCTTGAAGTCATCTTAGTTAATTAAAGCTTTAAGTGGTTTGCGTGCTAACCGTTTATTCTAATTTCTCCTCACTTTCCCACGCTTAGTCTTTGATAAGGTCATGACACATATAAAGAACTCGTTTCATAGAGGAACATATTTTAACTAGGGATAAACTCCGCTAATTGCCAATATCTTATGGATATTCATCTTCAAAATGAAGTTGTTGTTGGATATTTTCAACAATATTAGTTCCAAATTCAATCCCACAATAAAACAAAATGAAAAGAAGAAAATATGTTGAACAATTATATTTGTTCAATTTCAATTGTCTTAGTTATAATTTGGTAATTCGTTAAATGGAAAAATGCAAAAAGGTCTCTTACCGGGTTACCAAACTAGTTTTTTTTCTTTCTCAAATTGATTTCCATGAATTGTCTGAATTTTTAATTTTTGCATATTTGAATAGAGTTATGTGCTTACAATTATTTATCTTTTTATGTTTAAGTATAAGATGGTTGGTAACAAATTTATAATGCCTCAATTTGCTAAAATAAACAAGATTCATGATAACTTCAAATTTTATAAAATGAATATGCGTGAATCTATTGTTATATCCTTAAACATTGATAAATTGCCAGAAAGATTTCAAAAGAAACTCAAAACATAAAAGGAAGATTTGTCTCTTGAAGAGCTCATGAATCATGTTCGAATTAAAGAGTAATACCTCAAGGAACATGAGAAAAACTTATGTGGCAAATATTCATTAGATGGAAGAAGGATAGTCTTGCAAATTATGAAGAAGAAAGAACTTTGTGCTAATGCCTAAAAATTCAAAAAAGAAAAGGGTGCATGTTTCCATTATGGAAAACAAGATTGCTTCATTAAATACTGTTATTTTCTTCAAGAAGAAAATAAATGCACCGGTTGCAGCAAGACAAAATTTTGTTGCAAGAATTTCTAAATTTAATGTCTTGAAAATACTAAGGCATGGTAGATTGCTTCATGTGCTACACAATATGATTGCAAAGACAAATTCATTCTATCCAATGGATAAATATTTGTGGAAAATGGTGATGTGAATAACATCATTTTTTCATAATAATTTTATTAGGAATTAAAAGAATAAAATGGTTGTTTCTACTTATATGATTTTCTTCATTATGGCATGTTAATTACAAAGAATGCTTGCTATGTCTAACTCGAAATTGATTCTAAATATTGATAAAATTATGAAAAATCGTAAAACTTGCATGTTCCTCACTATGATAATTAGAAATTCATTTTCTAAAGTTGAAATTGTTTACTACGTCTAATTCAAAATTGATTCTAAATATCGATAAAATTATAAAAAATTGTAAAACTTGCATGTTGCTTATTGTCATAATTAGAAATTCATTTTCTAATGTCGGAATTGTTCTAAATGCTTGCATTAGTGCATAATGTGTATGGGATTTACATCGCTCACCTTCAACAGGACAAAAGAGATATAATTTCGTGATATTTATGAATGATTACTTAAGATTTTGCTTTGTTTGTGTTAGCTTGAAAATGAGTATAGTTTTGATTATGATAAAATGATTCAAATTTGCAGTTGCTCTACTAGAGTGATCCTTGACATGTTCTTCAATATGACTAACTTTTATACATTTGTTCTTACATGGTTATAAGCTTGATTGTTTTAATTTCATTCACTCTTGAAATTACAAGCTAGTATGTTTTAGTTGTGTTGGAGTTTTTAATCTCTTTAATGTTCACTCTTGAGATTTCTAAGTTGCAAGAGATGTGCACAAGATAAAAAGCTCATTTATCTTCACAACATCAAGGTTGTTTCAAGCTAAGAAGCTCATTCTCAACTCAACATTTGATCACAAAGAAGATATGACCGAAGTTACATGCTAAAATGACAAGGAATCTTAAGGAAACAAAGTTCGAATTGATCTTAGAGCAAGGCAAAACAACCGTATGTCAGAATGGTTGAAGAATGATTGAAGAATTGTGATGTGTAAAAGGCATAGTCGACCTTATAAGCTCCATAGTCTACCTTGTGGCAAGATGGATGAAAAATCATGAAGACATGAAGCCATAGTTGACCCTATAGAAGCTATAATAACCCTGAGACAGATTGCAAGCACAATTTGAGGTTTGAGCAACCATAGTCGACCCTGATGAAGCTATAGACAACTTTGAGGCAAAACACTTGTAAGATTCAAGGATTTGAGTAGCCATAGTCGACCCTGAAGAATTTATAGTCAACTATACAAGGCCAAACTTCAAAATCACAAGCTTCTAAAAATGGATTGAGTAAGAGACTTCAAGAGCCGAGTATAAAAGTCTTAATTCAAGATTTTGAAGAACCATTGTAACACTCTCGATTTTTTATATAATTAATGTGGTGTGAACTAAGTTAATTGAGGAGTCAAATTTAACCTTTGAAGTATGTTTGTGAAGATGTGAGAATATGTTTATGTGTGTAGAAATGATTTTGAAATTTATTGTGTGTTTGAGGATTTTTGATGATATGTTGAATATACTAAGTATGTGAAAGCATGCGTTATAACCCTTAGGTAAGCTGTTAGAAAAATGGTTTATGAATCTTAAAATTTGAAGTTGGGATTGAGATTTGATCTTATATTTGAGTAAAGATGTAAGAATTTTAAGTTATATGAAGGATTTGAAGTGTTTGTTTAAATTAAAATGAATTAGGCACTTAAAGGAGTGAATTTGGAGACTTGGGGAAGTGAAAAATATGAGTTTTAGACATGATTTATCGATAGATGTTTATCATTTATCAATAAATATAAGATAGAGGGCTTAGGAAGGCAATTCAAATGAACATCTATTGATAGATTCACCTTGACCATCGACAGATATCTACCTAGGAACTGAAATATGTGGGATGGCAACTATTAATAAATCCGTAGAATATATTGATAGATGGCTACACAAGATGAGTTGCGAACAAGTGGGGAAGCATTTATCTATAGATTTGTAGAATCAATTGATAAAAAGCTAAATGGGGAAAATGTGAAGGAGCTCAGTACACCATTTATCGATAAACGTGACAAATCTATCGATAGGTGAAGTTCAACATCCAAAAATTTTAATGGGATCCATTAATAAAGGCTCCCCATCTATCGATAGATCAGCTCAAAATTTTGAAGTAAAAAGAAGATTTGGGTTATCTTCCCATTTTAAAACAAAAGAGAAACTCTCTTCACTTTCCACCCTTTGAAACCCTAGAACCAAAGTGGGATTTTGGAGCTCTTTTGGACATTGAGGTAAGATTACACCTTTTCACTTATTGATTTATTATTTAATCGATTAATAACTTAGAAATTTATCCACTGTAGCTTTTGTAAAATTTTCTCCCTTTTGTTTGCTAGGAATTTAGAGTTGAGATTGAACAACCCAGCCTCTAAGGTAACGATTTAAACCTTTTGAACTTAAGATTTGAAACCTAGGTTTTGATAACTATGAGTAGTTGGAAGAAAGCCTAGTTTGAAATACTAGAAACTTTCTAAAGCTAAGGAATAATTATTATTAGATTTGTTCAAGGGGAAATTAAAGCTTTTGACATGCTGGTGAGCTAGAGAATAGTTGCAAGCTAGGGAGTTGGAATTGACTGTGGGAGTGCGTTTGATTGTCACTATTAGTGGGGTTTATTATGTGAATAAATGTATGTGATGCATGACTCATTATTAAATGTGCTACCATGGTATTTGAATGATATGTGTGTGTAACTACCTAGATTGATCTGCCTAGGCTAGTGAATTGATTGTATGTGAATCTATGTGTATGTGCTTTAGTGCAAGCCAGATAATGACAAATATTTGAGCCTAGACTAGGAGGTCTAGTGAATATTATTGGTCCCAAAAAGAGTGCTAGAAGGGTGGTGAATAGCATTT